CTAAATTTGGTCGACAATAGCTGGTTATGATAAATTATACGTAGGATTTTATCCAATCCGAAACGGCGAAATATTTTGAATGAATAATGATGTCTTACATTTTTGTTTCTTTTAAACAATTATGAATAAGGGAATACACTGGTTTTGTACAAGTCACAATAGAAAGTGACCGGGGAAGCAAAATGTAGCCGGGCACAAACTGTTGGCAAGGTACCGGGGAGGCTAAATTATCACTAAACCACCGGGTAGGGTTTCCATGCTGGGTCTGTTACAGAGAGGTGTTTCTAGCGTTTTTTTTTTTTTGGAATGTGAGCGTCGTTTATAACCACTGAAAAGAAAATTGTCTCAAATTTCTCTGAAAGGCCGTATTCAAACATACAACAGTTACATTGAAGTATGAACGAAGCGTGAAAGGCAAGACGCCTTCGATAAGAATTCCTCTCTCGGTTTTGTTTCCATATTTGTGGAACGAAACAGTCAGTAAAAATTCTTGTCACTTCTGCTTCACAAAACGTCAATGTCAAGTGTTGTACGAGCTCTCACTTGATCACATTGGGTGTCGTGTGGTATGGCCCCATAAAGAAGGTCAGGAGTTTTAAAAGTAGTCGCCACTAAGGAATGGTAGCATGATAGGCACTCTGTAAACTTATTTTTGTTGATTTTGATTATAACACAACACAGGTCAAAAGCCCAATAATGACAAGTACGGCAATGAATGCCAGAAGGAACGAATAAATTTTAGATTCGCAGAGGAAGAAAATTATGACTCTAAATTTAAGGACATCGCATTCATCGTCAGTAAGGATCTCTTTGATGAACAGAAAAAGTACATAAACAGTAACAAGTATCCGGAAGGTGAGTTAAAATCTAATTTTATCACGTGGGTAAGGTATAAAGGGGTTTTTACAGGTGAACTATCCAGGTGGAGTTTTGGCAACCAAATTGCCTTGAATCGGGTGCAAGGCTAAGACGGGAAGGCGATAGACTTATTGGAAGGAGAGTGCTTAATCGACGGGGGCGCTTATCAAGTTTCTTTTCAAGGACGTGTAATTTTGTTTCGGGTAAATCTTTAATAGAAACTTAAAATGAATATTAATAGTTTTTCGTTTGTTAAAACTTACAGTAGTTGTAATCAAGCGTATCTTCTTCCCATTTAACAGTTAACACACAAATGTATCAGTATGAATGTTTATAAATATCAATTATCTCATTATCATTCCCGAGATCATCCTCATCAATGATATGCGGGTCTTCGAAATCCTCTTGTATAGCTACCGTTTAAGAAAGTGAGAGGGAGAGGAGAGATGCGCTAATAAACATGTTAGTAACTAGAAATGAAAGTGTGAATGGGGTTTAGTGTTTAGTGTTATTTGCCCATAATGTTTAGTGTTTACTGTTAAATTGGCCAATTTTTAAATGTTTACTGTTTCCGAAGAAAATACGGTGAAGTGTTTGAGGGTTCCTCGAACATCATCGTCCGACGTCTTCGTTAGTCTTCGGAAATCCTCGGGAATCGTCGGTAGCCTTTGGAAATTGTCGTAAAATGGCCGAAACTCCATGATATACGAAACAAAATAATATTGGCTTTTTTGGAGCCGTTTTTGCTTCTTTCTGGAAAAAAACATCACTGTTTCAAAGAATTTTGTTACTGTTAGTGTTAAAATGCGTAGAATTTAACTGTTTCATGTTACAAAGCCAAAAAATGAGGTGTTATCGAGGTAACCTCATTCAGGCCTTCACAAAAACGTGCATCGCAGAACCTCGCGAACCTCGGGGGGGGGGGAAGGGGCGGGGGTGAGGCCAATAAAATGTCGGGGATGGAAGGGGGAAGAGAACTGGAGTAAATTGTGCAGCTTTTGGGAGGCCGGGTTTCAGCACTGACTCTAATATTGGAAGGTGAGATGTAGTTAATATCCTTTTGGTTGGAGGTTTTGGTTGGAGTAAATTTGAATCCAGTGCTCTGTTTTCAATGTATGGCGTCCTGGTGTTGTTAAGGAAGGGTAGCCAGTGTTTCGTAGGTCCCGTGTTCACCCCATTTGCCCCTTCAACATGTGTAATTATAGTCAAAAGGAAATGGGTGTAATAGTAGATAACTGCAGGCAAATATGCAGCTGACCCATGCCATATCTTTAATAAAAAGTGTAATAATATTTACTTGTGAAGTGTGTCATTAGTAGTGAGTGATTAAATGATAGGAGATAATACTGCAGTGAAAATAACAAGTAACTGCTGGTTATTAGAGTTAGGTTATTATTGTTAAGTGAACTACAGCAATGAGATTGTTTGCACCTGTTGAAGTACATAATCACACTTGACAACTAATTGTTTGTAACAGTAAGGTGCAAACATACAAATGTAATCACTTACACTAAAATAGAAATTACATGTAGCAATGTCAAAGAATGCAGTTGACGAGAATTATGAAAGTGATCATGACTCATGATTATTGAATGTCCGGTACACTCATTAGCACCGAATTATCCCCGTAAAAAGTACCAAATCATTTATGAAAGTGTTCATAGTTATTTGTGTACATGCATGAGAAACAAATACCCATGCAATGCATGAGTTAATTTGTACTAATTTGTATTAAGTGTCTACATACAAGTCATGCTGAAGGTGATCAGTTTCTCAATTCTCAACATGCATGAGCTTGTTGAGATATGGTTGTCAGAGTTATAGTTTTGGAAATCCCCAGGCTGACAGTCAAATGTACACTTTCCTTGACCAATTGAATTGACAATTTGTCCAGATAATAATGGATTCCAGATTCCAGTCAAAACTTTGTGTACTGGACACAGATG